CTATTTAGATCTATATCAGACCTCTATCAGAGATTTGATATTTGCCATTTAAAATGCAAAATAATATGCAATTCTCTCTGTGCACCTAATGTCTCAAATAATTATAAAAACTTATTTAAATCGTTGCAAGCTTAGCGTTATTTGTTTCAAACATGAGTATTTATTATTATTCGGCAACATATGTCAAAAATAAGATATATTACTTATACTTATCAAAGATGTTTATTAGTCAAGGCATAAATTGTTGTAAGTATAATTAATACGACCCTTGACCAATAAACATCTCTGATTAATTATATTTGTTTTCAACTAATGATTTTATGTTGCTACATGATTCCAGGTAAATTAGCTTCATAATTTAAATCAGTTAGAATTTATCTCAATTTTTTAGGATCTATATCCTGCCTTCATGTCTTAAATTGTCTTTCTGTTTAATTATTGCGTACAAATAAAATTCCGATTCATTAAGTGTGAAGTTTCTTTCGTTAACAAGAGTTTCTCAGCGATTAAATTTAGTAACATCAGTAATAACTTTTAATGGAATTAAAAATTCTAGTTATTCGTATCGAAAACATTCTAAAAATAAAAATCTCGGTTCTTCACATTCTAATGAAAGCAAGGTATTTTCCAGATTTATAAACGATGAGAATTAAATATAAAAATTTCAGTTTTTAAATAAGCCTGTCAAATGGATATTTAAGAAGGCACCCTTAAAGTTGGCGACGACGAAAGTATCCCTACTGCAGTGACGTCACGAACTGCGCGCCGTGGCCTTGAGTTAGTTCTAGGTGGTGTTGACTAAGGCCATAGTGAGCTAACCTGTCATAATGAACGACATTAGGTTTAGAGTTCGATGACTTACTGATCTGAACCTCGAAGTCATTCAGCCTGTTTAGAACTGTGTATGGACAATCCCAAGGTCACTGAATTTAGGCCAGAATCCTTTTCGTCGAATTCATGTCCAGCAGCTCGTTTTCAATCGGGTCTTTACTTACTCCATCACCAAGTTGACTCGCTCTCGTGCAGAATGGTGCATCCCTTCAAACTGGGCCTGGATATCTTGGATGTATTCCTCAGGCGATGAAGGCACATCCATAGGGTGACCAAACAGCTGGTCACAAGGCAAACAAAGGTCTCGACCGAAAAGCATCTGGGATGGAGAATAGCAGGTAGTCCGGTGTTTCTCTTCGACCCTAGTATGATTTTGGCAGCTTTCTGAGCAGGGTCTTTCACATGAGACATTGGCGTTTCCAGGCGATGATCCCTTTTGAGGATGGATAGTCATGTCCTCAGATGCTGAGAACAGATTGTTGTTTTTGAAGTCTAAGGAAAAATTATATTTCCTTAAAAAGTCCAATCCGAGTATGCATGGATCTGTAATATCCACCACATATGTCATGTAATAGTAGGCGGCACTTCCAAATGTGATGTTCACATTTAACTTCCCAGGTATGTTGATCTTATCACCAGATGCACTATGAAGGGTAACACAGGATGGTGTCCAAATAAGTTTATCTTTAAACTGTTGAGCTAAATCTTTCTAAATGATGGTAACATTAGCTCCTGTGTCAATGATCATATTGCAAGGAACTTACCGATATGCCCATTGATGGACAGTCCGTTACTGTTGCCACTCACTGTAGAAATCTTGAGTGCTTTAAAACAAGGTTTTTCATCATCTGGCAACCTCCATTCCTCAATATGGTCATTAATTTGTTTCATGCGTCGTTGCTGAGAAATTCTTTCAATTTCTGTGCTCTGCAGTTCTTTCACACATGGCCTTCAGCTCCACAGTTTGGTTTCTTGTCACTCCTTTTTCGTCCGATGGCATTTAATTGTCTGTTCAACTCGTCTGTCTTATTTTCTGCGCTGTGGGATATGCTGCAGTTCCTTCGCACGAGGCCTTCAACACTGCAGTTCCAGTACTTTAGAACTGGTTTCTTTCTTACTTCTGTTCCATCTTAAGGCACTGACTTGTCTGATAAAATCATCTGTTTTATTTTCCATACCCTGAGAAGGTCTGCAATTCCATCTTAGGCGACCTTCACTACCACATCAACAACTTAGAGCCACTTTGTTCTCACTCCTACTCCGTATAAAAGCGTCGACTTGTCTGGATAAATCATCTAAACGAGCCATCGACCCACTGGCTTGTGGACTCGCACAGCTCTGACTGGGTAGCGATCTCTACAAGTTACTTGCTGAACTGCCTTGTATTTCATGGCGTACAACAGAGTGCTTTTTATCTCCTTCACATCCACCATTCACAGAGCTTTCTATATTTCAGGAACCCGGATGGCCTTGATGAAGTATTGCAGAGACAGGATTTCCCTATTTCTGTCGGGCACTCCGAAAAGGGGAGATAAGACAGCCTTTCTACATCTGTAGCGAGCTCCTGACGTGTTTCGGTGGGCTTCTTCTGTTGACGGGATTTTAATTGAAGCTTGCTGTAGTCTTTTAAACACTCTTCCCGAAGTGCACCTCCAACGCACCAGACAAAGCTTTGAAATCTAGCCTTCGGTTTTCCGGAAGAGTCTGAAGTATATCTGCAGCATCTGTTCTCAGAGAAGCGGAGAAATGACAGGCCTTAGCTTGGGAATCTCGTCCATTCGCATCCACAACTATAAAAAATTGTGTCTTATACACTTGCCAGGAGGTCGTTCCATCATATGAGAGATCATCAGAGTCCCATCATTTAGAGAGGGATGAGCAGGCATGGGTAGAAATTTAAAACCATCTGGATTGCTCCTTGCCGTCGCTATGAAGTTCCTTAAATCAACTTCTTTGGCGACCGCATTAACCCCGTCATCAATTTGTTGTTCCACAGCAGAAACTCTCTCTTCTATTACCGGAAAAACCTTTTCTTCAATTCCAACTTTATTTTCAACTGTGTCAATACTGCCTTCCATAACCTCGTATTTGTTTTCTATTGCGCTGGTAATTTCTCGTTTCATTTCCTCTTGACCTGCTTCAATCTTTTCTTAAACAGTCTTCATTTTTCTGCTTTAACGGATTCTTAGCGCAATTTCATCTCTTCCTTCATTTCTTTTTTAAACGAGGCAAAGGCTTGATATCAACTGCCTTAATTGTTCTTCCAACGCTCTTGTTATTGGCATTCAAATCCCACCGCTGTCACCAAAAAGTGTTGCGTGCACATGGGTATGTTATGAATTGAATGCACAAAATTTATTATTATCACAAGAAATAAAACAAAATGCCTAAACTTTCTTAGATATTCGTACATAATTACAATATCTCACAGTAGTTATCTTTTAACTACTCAAACGTTCAACAGAACTTAATTCAAAACAGCTAGAGAAACCTAATCCGCAAATTTGCTACAGTCGGCAAGAGCAGTTTTCTAAACAAACTCTTAAAACAACAACTGTCTAACTAACTAACTGAGGGTTTTCATGCCGCTTACTTAAGCTTTTTTTTTTAATGCGCGAGAATTTTCTGGTGTTTTCTCAAAATCAAAAAGAGATATTTATTTATATTTTTAATTTCCTGGCTTAGCTTTCTCCTAATATTTGTCTCGCGCTGCACTGCACGGAGAATAAAACCATTTAATTTATAATTCTACCAACATTAGCTACTTAAATGCCAAATCCGTAACAGTATTTATTTCATCAATAGTGCAAAATAATTTATTATATTGCTAAAATACAAATAAAATTACTTTTGAAATGATTTGCACTATTATTATGGTAACGAGAATCATATTTTTATGATACGGAAAATAAAAAAGTCCTTAAACCTCTGTTTTTATGTATTAAATTGTCACCAACTGAACTCCTAAAGTGAAAATAAAATGCATTTATGATACAAAGAAAAAAAAAAAAAAAAAAAAAAAAAAAAAAACCTAAGAAAGTTATTTTACAAAAAAAGGCTAGTCACCATCAAGCAGAAATTTTCCACTGAATGACTATGATAAAATGAGATTCAAAAGTGGTATGTTGTTTTCTATAGCGCACTCAGCAACAGAGCCGGATTTAAACTTGATACGGCCCTAAGATATTTGAGATATGGGGCCCTTTATAAGTGTCTTATACTATATTTATAGTATATTATAATTTTTGGGGGGTTCCCCCCCCAACAGAGTGGGGAGCCCTCAGCTATAGCTTGTGTAGCTTATACGTAAATCCAGTATATTTCCATTTCGCCGGCGCAAGTATTAACATTTGTTACTTCTAAGATATTTTTATTTTGAAGGCATAAACATTTTAATATCATTTAAAATTTTGTAAAAAGACAAACATTAAGAATTTACTATGCTTTCGTGGTACATATCACGTGCCCCAAGTGATCTCATCTCACGTAAACTATGCTACAAAAATGTAATTCTCTCAGTAATTATCTACAGTAATTTCAAGTTAAATCTTAATTTGGCATACAAGTTTAAATGAAAGAATTATTTCAATTAGTACTAATAGCTTACTTAGAAATTATGTAAAACCGCAGTGCTTTTCTTTGCTAGTGCATTCTTATTAGAATTAATGAATTTAACCCTTGACTTTGCTTTTTCTATATTTTTGCCTTCGGGTGAGCGGAGTGATTGCATGCTTCTTGACTTAATTACCACGAATGGTCTTAGAGCATAAAATTGTACTATCTGGTAAAAATTCTATGAATTGTATGCCAGTATTGAAAGAAACAATCAATCTGATAAGAAATGGCTGCAACTTGTTTTGAAAATGAGGCGTAAAATGTTACCAGCGAGGATATTCCGTTTAGCATCGGTTGTACCCTTTTTATTTATTTATTGTTACAGACTTTATTGTTTGCGTCAGCAAAATGGAAAAGTATCGTAAATCCTGCACTGCTCAGCAAACAGAAAATAGCAGTAAATTTTTCATTTCATTTTTCCCATCATTACCACATTAGATCTACCCAGATTATAAATTATAGTAAAATAGTAAAAAGATTTTACGGCACAAATGTAAAGATTTTGCATTTACCACAACATGATATTGAAAAGGAAAACAAACATTAGAATATACCTGCAAGGGACTCCGATGCTCCAATTATTCGAAATTCAGTCCAGTCTGTGGCAGTAGTTGCTTTGAAGATCATGAAATAATTTACAACTGTCAATCCAATAGCAACAAAAAAACATACCTGCAATATAATATTACTACTTTAAAACACTCGAAAAAGAGCTTAATAATTAAAAACTTTAATAATAATTTTCTCGTCCAAGATTTTAAGAGATAACATTTATAAGACCATTATTTACACACAAATAAATATTTTAACAATGTAAAAAGATTAAAAAGTAGAAAGTAACTCACAAATTTGAAACAATGGTAACAGTTAATCTTTTCTGCAACCAGATAACTGAAAGCATCAGCAATGGTAATGAAAACTGCATGAAGATAGATATCAAACTGGTGTTCTTCATGAACTCCATATATAGCAAAAGAAAGTGCAATAACTATAAATAAAAATAAAGACTGATTTTACTTTTAAAACCTTTAATTTCATCTGTATTTATTTCACTGTATTTAACAGCTCAACTAATTCAAATATGCCAGCTTCAATTATATTAATATAACAGAAACAAAAATCTTGAATAATATGTAATCATAAAATAAAAAGATGTACAAAAGTCCTGAAATAAAATTGAATAATGCAATTTCAGAAAATGGAAACACACTGAACATTTGGTGTATTAGTTAACTAATGGTTCCCAAAGTGTGGGTCATGGAAAAAGTTCACAAAAAATTTTTCTTTTGTTATAATTCTATGGGTTTATTACAGTCAATTGACAATTATTAAATGACTGTTTATAATCATACACATTTACTACCCTGAAAGGGCTATTAGTCTCAAACTTTTTCATCACTTTTGATCTCACTTTTCAATTAAAGAAATACCATGATGTCAGTTAACCAAACAGGAAAAGCATTTAACATGTGCCTCTCTGTTAGATGAGCTGTGCTGCAGTCAATAACAATGTAATTGGCCACTATAATCATCTGCTATCACATGCTGCAATTTTTTTCTACAGTACACAGAGTCTGTTAAATATGTATAGTACACGAAAGATGTTGTTATATCATAAATTGTCAAAGTTAACCACACATTCAGACAGTAATCAAAATTATTGAAAGGAATTTGCAGCCAGACAGATGACAAGAAAAAGATCATTACGTTGACACATGGTGTATATGTTATTAGAACACAAAAAATTGGTAAACCTTTGAATAAACTTTTGATATTTCTGTTGCCTGAAGAGACCACAGTAGTTTCTCTTTCATATGTTAAATATGTCTCTTTCATAAAAGTGTTATTTTCTTTTAACTAAATTGCATAATGTGTAATGAATGGACAACTAGTTATAAACACACTGGGATATTTAAACACAAGATCTGTCATATGAAACCTCATCACTATCCTTCCAGTTGCACTTAGAATAAGTTAATTTTGTTTAATTATTATAAATCAGGATTAATTGCTGGCTAGAGAGGATTTTCATGTATCATAAAATAGGCATGAATTGGATGCTATTTATAATTTAATTGTGTATTAAATTTATTCAGTCATACAGAACAGGATATATAACAATACTAACTTCTCCTAGCTTTGTGCTTAGGAGATGTGAACTGCTTGAAACTAGAATAATTTGCTCTTCTCTTCTTACAGCATAATGTATTATATAGAACACACTATTTATGTATTTTACCAAAATTTAATTAAAATGTGATCACATTTTTCTAATAACATTTTGCTTCATACTGTAAAAAATATCACATTCATTTATATCAAATAGAATTTGCTTTCAGTGGCAAAATGTTTTACATACACATATTTTTATTGGATACATACATAATTGCCAGCCATATTAAAACCATAAATCTACAAAACTGTCATTTTAAGAGGAGAAATAAATATTAAAGTGATTCTTTGAGAGCATTCGGGTTAAGTAAAGAAAACTTAAAATAGGCATTTGGGTGAAAACCGCAAAAGTGCAGATGACGTGACATCAAAGACATATGTATCATAAATCAATAGTATTTTTTTTAAATGCTTTTAAACTAACTTTTAATTTTCAACAAATTAAAGGAAGGGGAATATAGTATATATGACTTTCTGACTCCAGAGATGTTTACAGAAATTTAGATTTTGAAGCCATTTAATTAATGTTCAAAATATAAAGAGCAATTTTTTAAATGTTCAATCTGACTCCTTTTTTTCTGGACTGTAAGTCTGCACTATGATTTTCATAAAAGAAGGGCTTTTTGTAAAATTTCCAGGGGCTTGATTTTGATTCCTCTTCCACTGCTTTCCAGAGCCCATGACACGTTGTGGGTTTACACTAGGAAAGTGTGTGTGTGTATGCGATTATGGCAAAGCCGCGAGGGCTATCTGCCTATGGGGAGGGATGCCTTTGTGGAGGACTTTCTAAGGGAAACTGGCTCATATACACATATAGTTCTAAAATTCTGTACATACCCTTTGTATCCTAAGATGTATTAATCAAAACTGAAATGAAAGTCCAGCAGATATTACATAATGCTCTTATGCTAATTAAGCTCAAGCGGTAAAACTGCTGAACACTGTATTTCATCCACATTCAAATCCCTGGCAAACAAGTCACCTACATGGAAGTTTTTATGGTTTTTCTCATGAATAACAAGAATATGAGCCAATTCTCCTTAAAAAAAAATTTCCACAAAAGAAACTTCCTCCTTAGGCAGATAGTTCTCTGGTGTTTTGCCATAATCTGGAAAATTCTAATCTTTATGTTAACAGTACATATAATATAACATGATTATATCAAAAAAAATTAGTATACCATGCATAGAAATTGTATTTAAATAAGAACTAAATTATATTAAGCTGACTGTAAATTACTTTCTTTTTGCAATATTTTCCCTTTTATATTTTCATTAATAATTAAGATAAGAGCAATTCTTTATCATAATATTAATAAATAATACAAATTATTAATTCAAAATTTTTTTATTATAATACTTGAAACAAGAATGACGATAACTTCTGTCGTAAATTCTGGAGACAGGAGACTACGTTGAAGATCACATTGTACTACTGCAACTCCTGATGAAGCAAGCAACAGAGCAACATTGCATGTGGCCACCACAAGAAAAATCCACTCCCAAATGTTGTGACCACCAATCAAAGAAACCTATTATGAAATCATTAAGATCAATAACTTTAAATTGAAAATAATGGAGAAAGAAAAATTTCAGAATACTACTAAAAATTTGCTTGGCTGATCTTTGGAATATGGTAACATTTTGGAGGCGATAAAGGTTACTACCTAAGACTTTGGGAATAATGTGAGAAGTTTTCAGTTTCGATTACGCATTATTTTGTGAGAGGGAAATGAGAGATCATGAGATATGTCATGCGACATTAATGGACGAATCACTGTTCTTTAATCGGGAAAGGGGGTATATTGTAAAAATATCTGCTGTACTTTATAGGGTAGTTTCATTCTATGTTCTGTGAAACAGTGTTGTTTAATATTTGGATCCCATGGCCGTATATAAAGTAAATCCGAAATTTTTATTACGTTTATGTGTAATTGAAAAGAATTGCTTAATTACGGATAATTATGAATGTCCAATATGTGGGAATGAAATGAGATTGTGTAAAAGGAAGGATATTACAGATAGTTTGAAATGCGTTGCAAGAAACCTGGTGAAAATGGACATTTTGTGAACCACCATGCACTCAAGATTCTGTAGAAGATTAGGTAAGTTAGTATTTTTAATTATTTGAGGATATTATTTTTATGCATTGTTCTAAATGTAAGGAGTAAATAAATTAATATGGTATTATTGGAAAATGTGTTATTAGCAACTGAATTTAGTTTAAAGTAATTAGGATTTGTAAGCTAATTTTTATTAATTTAATATATGTGCTTATTTATATTTTAAGTAGTGTTTTTTAATTTAATTATATTTTAATTTAATGATCGTGATTTTGAGAGTTATATGTTTGTAGTATTTTGGAATACGTTTGAGTAGAAGTAAATGTGCATGGAAAGAATTTAAGTATTTGACACTATGTATTTGTAATCATTTTTAATGTTTTGTTATAAATTCGTTGGTGACGTTTATAATAGATAATTTAGAGGTAAAAGTTTTTGGATATTTTATTTATTTTATACGTGCAAATGTCCATCCTTGGAAAGGGTATATACTTTTTCGCAATCAGGTAGTTTCATATATGTGCTTTTTACCGGATTTAAAGATTCACAAAATTTTCATGCATTTTCATGAAATTTTTCTAATTTATGAGAAAAAAGCAGTGTACATGGATATAGTGAAGAGTGTGCGCAATGCCATTTTTGTGCAATTCTGAGATTTTTTTTAAGTAAAAATAAGTTGACGTGTACATGGTTTAGTTACATTTTAATTAAATGATAGTTATTTTGTGAATTTTATGTTTGTAGGAATTTGGTATATGTTTCATTTGAAGTAAATGTGTATGGAAATAATTAAATATTTGACACTAAGTATTTGTAACTATTTTTAATGTTTGCGTATAAATTCATTGGTGACGTTTATAATATAATAGATAATTTAGAGGTAAAAGCTTTTGCTTTTTGCTAATTTTGGATATTTTATTCATTTTATACGTGGAAATGTTCATTCTTGGAAAGGGTATATACTTTTTCGCGATCATGTAATTTCATATATGTTCTTTTTACCTTTTTTTTTTTTTCGTTTAAAGATTAAGAAAATTTTCCTGCATTTTCGTGCAAATTTTTGTAATGAGAAAATAGCAGTGTAGATGGATAAAGTTAAAAGTGTGTGCAATGCCATTTTTTATAATATAATAGATAATTTAGAGGTAAAAGCTTTTGGATATTTTATGCAATTCTGGGATGTTTTTTAAGTAAAAATAAGTCGATGTGTAAATGGTTTATGTGTATGTGCTATTCTGAAAAACGCGCAAGGAGTTTGCGATTGTGCACTTTTTCCCAATTTTCAGTTAATATTTGTCATGATTAAGCAGTTTTGTTACATAAAATTTCTAGCATAAGTGTAATACAGCTAGTAGATTGTTGGAAAAAGTGTTGAGTAAATAAAAAGAAAAGAAACATACATGTCTTTACTTCGTGAAGACAAAATGGCAGCTGGAAAAAAAAAAAAAAAATAGAGGGTTGCTGTAGCAGAGTTAGTCGCCAAATTTTCGTCAAAAAATCACCAAGTTACCATAATCCAAAGATCAACCATTTGCTTTATAACAACAGGTAAATTCTGATACAAAATTAATAAAATGATAGAGCACTTATACACAAATATTCCCATTCTTAAATGTTTATTATCAAATAATTCTTCTGATAAAAATTATGCAAAATTTAACTCAAGATTATTTTTTAAAAACTATACATATTTTAAGGATGGCATGTACATGGTTTCTTTTCATTCAAGAGAAAAAAATGGTAAAAATATTGTTACAGGTGCCCCTTGGTGAAAATTGGCGGTATATGGACACCAATTTTGTGCAGTTCGATGACTTGTTATTTTGGCTTTGTGTAGCAGACATTTTTGTGACCAAAATCGACACTACACAAAGCCAAAATAACAAGTCAAAGAATTGCACAAACTCAGTATTTATGTATACACTGACCTATTTTCACTTAAAAAAGATCAGAAAATTTCACAAATTTAGCACTGCGCAATCCCTTGACTTTGTCCATGTACAAATCAATCTATTTTCATTTAAAAAGTCAAAGGAGAAGCCAATTCAGGAGCAGTAAACTACATTTTAAATTAAACAATGAAATAACATAAAAAAGGAAATTCATCTTATAGCACCTAAGCACTACACAAAGGAAATATTCACTTGCTTTATTTAGAAATTTCTGGATCTTCAGTCTGTGGCACACAAAATTCCTTAACAGCATCCAAACCTTCCTAAAATTATCTGAACTAGAATCTGTATACTGGAGTCGCCACATAAATTCACAAAAATATGAGTAAAAAATATCCTCAGACGGTCAACCATATGCATTTCCTTCGTACAAATAGGACATTTATAATGGCTACTAAATAAAACTTCATTTACACACCAGTCAATTGATGCTTTTTTTTTTTCTCTTTCATTCCAAACCGTATAGAAACTTCAAATTAATCTTACCACATTCAGCCATTTTATCGTGTAAACTACAAAATAAGCAATGTACTTCCTAACCAACATCTAACACACACATACAAGTCCTTGCAAGTCTTTTCCCATCAGTCAAATTCACCCCAATCATCCAACCAATTATATCATAATAGGGTTTCCATAACATTCAACTACTCAGGTTACCATAAATGAAACAACTTGGCGATAATCCAAAGGGCACCCCTAAATATAGGTTAACGAAAGAAACACTTTGTGCTGGAGGCCAGAACTACCTAACTTGAACCAAAATAAAGGTAGATATTTAATAATAAGCAAAATTACACTGATAAAGAATGCTTTAAACTTCTCAGAAATTAAAATCTGAAATAAGGTCCTCAAGGATTCAACAAATTGTATCAATATGGGAGAAAAAACTTGAAATGTAAACTTACATAGAATATCAGTATGGAAGGACTTGGAATGTAAACTTACATAGAATCAAAATGCTTTTGTGTTTGATATGAGGAGGAGAAATGGGATGACAATAACATTATCCTATCCTCTTCCCCCTTGGGATAGTTCAAGAGAAAAGAAAAGCAAAGAAACCACATAATATGGATGAACTGGTAGGAAAAAAACTTTAATATGTTCAAAGATAATCTGCAAAGACTTCTGTGATTAACAACAGCAAATATTGCCATTCACTTGGGGTTCAGATAGCCGCCACTTGCATGAAATTTTAAATTATATCCAAAACACATTAATCAATACAGCATATTAACACTAGTATAAAAACTGATTCACCATCTGATATAAGTACAAAAAAGGTCATTATAAAATAAATATTACTGAAATTACAATAATTATTAATGTAATAATTATTAATGCAATAATTATATAATAATAATACATTAATTATTAATGCATAACATTCAAAAACATCCATGCACAACATTTAAAATTTTAAACTTGTCAGTGATAAAGATTGACAGGTATAACAGTTTTCTAAAATTCACACAAAACTGTTCATCAGTAGCTTATCTTTATGCAAAGAAAAAAAGGATAATGAACAGAAATTTTTCAGAAATAACAGCATTGCATAAATCATTTCTCTCTTTTACTGTTAAAACTTTAATTTTCATACCTCTAATATCAGAACATTTTGTAGTTTTAGGTTTCTGAACTTTAGAAATTATTCTGAAAAACTGTGTGTTTGAATGCTAATTTATGCAACTTTTGCTTCATAGTAATAAATCAAGCCAAACTTTGAAAGCAGAATTTCCTGTAATTCAACAAATAAGGCGAGCATTTTCAAATAAATAATAGCTAAACGTTAAATTAATCTGTTTTTTCCAATTAAATTAACCTCTTTTTTAATTAATACCTGATTAATTTCACAGTTTAATATAATTCATTAATCGAGTAACTTTAAGTAGAAAATGTTATATTTTTTTAAAGCAGGAAAAATTCTATTACATTAAGTATGTGACAAAACGAAGTCATAGAAAAATATATTTTTCAAGTTACCACTTTAAAACAATCATAAAAATACTTTTATTCATGTTTATTCATTGTATAACTTTGTTCATTAAAATTTTCATGATTTTGTAATAATATACAAGTACATTCTTTTTACAGAATTTAAAATTATACATTAACTATGTAGTTAATACAGTGCTTTCAGAATGCAGAAAATATATTGTTAATTTTTCAACAGTATGAAATTAGCCCACTCAATGACAAGTTTTATAACCTTAAAACATGGATAAACAGCCAACTTATCAAAGATGCTACCTGCAAGGTTTTAGCTAATTCTCATTTCAATAATAAATCAAAATAAACTCTCAGTAATCTGCCATTTCATTTTTAATACAAAAAAGATATGTAGCTAATAATACTGCTCTTGAAGTACATCCTCTCATTTACTTGAAAATAAAATTATTAAGTTATTCATGACTCAAGAAACTAAGGTGTAAATCTTTGCAATGAAATATATTGAAAAGTAACACTGTAAAACTGCTCACATAAAACAGCCCAGAGATTTTACAAAAAATAAGATGTGAAAAATAATTTCTTTTATTTGCAAAACTTTCACAGGTGTCAGTACTCTTTTATGTATTTTCTATACTATACATACTGCCAACTCTGCTAGAATTTACTTATGTAGCATATTCAATTCCACGTTGATTAAACTGAAATATGCTACCTGCTTCTATTTTTCACAGAAAGGTAAATACTAATCATAAAAAGAATATATAAATGTTCTTTGTGATAGTTTAAATATCAGTTAACTATTCCATGAGAACAAGTATGCTGCAGTCTTTAGAACAATCAATGATAGCATGCTTTAAAAGTTATGAAACCTTAATTCACTGCTTTTATAAATACTAAAAAGAAACACATTTACCTGGAATCCAGAATTACTTTCTTGTGGAGACTCATTACTACTAGATGAGGATGTAGAATCATCAGTCGGCATGTTTTCAGTGTTACCAAAAAATTTATCTAGAGAAGAAAAAATAAATAAATGAAAGGAATTAAAATTTATACACGACAATAATGTACTTTCTAACTAAAAGAGATTTTGAGAATACACTGACTATCTGAAAACTCTTCACTTAAAGATCATAAACCATAATAGCATGCAATATTCTCCTTCTATACTAATCAAGTTTTACTTTCTTTCAAATAAGCTAAATGACTGTGGAGAAAAAAATAAATAAATAAATAAATAAATGTGCATTTCTACATTAGTATTTAATCAATAATTAACTGGAAAACCTGAACAAATGACATAAAATGAAAAACCACTTACTCATTAAATTAAAAACAAATCTGTTCATACTAATGCTACATTATAAAAATAAACAAATTAAGGCAAGTGCTACTTTGACTCCATCCACTAATGCCAATAAAAATGTAATTAAACACTTCTGAAATCATGCAAATATTTTGAATGAAACAAGAAAACGGACATAAACACGCACTACGCCGCGATTACGCAGACAAGTAGACATCCGAGAGTTACTCGAATGACTGAAAATGAAAACTAGGCCACACACCGGCAATCTTCAAGGTCTGCGACGTAATCGGCTAGTTAAACCACTTCGACGTCTCAGCGAGAGAAAAAAGAGAGCTCTTGTACACAGATTGTAGCCAGGGGAATCTGAAGACCACACTCTCTCACACGGACGATACCATCTCAGAAATGGCCTTGACGGGAATCAATAATAGTGAAGGTTACGGTGTTGACTTACTATATTTACGTAAACTACGTTGGAAATTCCTGATATCAACATTTAGGCAGATATTATTATTATTTTCCGCTTTTTATTTTGCTTTGAAGTCATTGCCCAAAATAAATCATGTTCTCAACAGTTTCACGATTCCACTTGCAGGCTATGAACGATAATTTTCAAAATTTCAGATCAATGACAAAACCCTCAACTTACCGATAACTTTTGTATTGATTTCTTAAACTGAAACTGAAATTTTAAATAAGATGTCCATTCCTTGGTTAAAAGATTCCATACTACAGAAATTCTTATTTAAAATTCCTTGTCAATTCCGACTTCCGTTTTCTCAGTTCATTCACGATGCGCGTGCGCGTAGTCCATTGTGAGATGGAAGGTGGTGAGGGAAACTCCCACTAACAAAATTCTAAGGGAGAAGAGTAACCGCACTCCAGGAAACAGCGCGCGTACGCTTCCGAGGATAAACTAAGGCTGAAATGGATCGATTTAACTCAAAATGAATCACCGCGTAAATTCACCGTACATGTTTGAATAGCTGTTGATGCAATGTTCCAGGAAGGCAAAGATTTTAAAAGGAACAAACTAAAAACTCATCCAAGCATTATTTTCTTCCATCTTTTCAACATAAGAAAAAGAATAATAATTAAAAACAATTTTAGTTTATTTTTTAATTTCGATTTTTCTAAACTACTTTCTTCTTTATTTCTATCAAGAACTAAACTATCGTGGAATTCGAAGAACAGTTATGAGAACAATAATGGTTAAAAATGGAAGTCCTGTTTCTTGTTTCTTCGTTTTTAATGCGAATGTTTTAAAGCCGTCTTAATTTTTATATTGTATGATAAACCAAACTTATATCACATCAGGGCTTAATTTCTAAAAGTAGAAGTGCTAGAGCCCAGTGAAAGACGGTCAGGAATAAGCAACAAGCGTAAATAAATAAATAAAATGACTATTAAAATAATTATTAATTTAAAAATTAAATTTTTTAATGAGTATGAAATCAATTAATATTATTTAATTGATATTAATAATTAATATTTATTACATATTAATAACTAATATTTATTACATATTAATAACTAATTCATTAGTATTTAATTTATAATTATTAGTCCAAACGGGTTTTGTCCCTGAGGAACTATAGTTTTCCTTTTGCGATTTTGCGCCGAATCACTCTGAAGGTCCGTTTCACTTTTCAAACTGTTACAATCAAATATTATCGCCCTTTGTTATATTTGAAGAAATTAAATAATGAAAAATCTCCCATTGTGATAAAACAACGGTACCTCGGTACCTAGAGCCATCAAATTTTGAATGACGCAATCCTACTGTGAATATGGACATCTGGAAACCCAAATTTGAAATTTGGAACCTGTTTTATTATCGATTTCATATTTTGTGAAACTTTAAAGAATTTTTTATTAACAAACTCAAGGATTTCAAAGCAAGCAATAGCATAATAGAAACGTAGTAAAAAAAAAAAAAAAAAAATTAATTAAAAAAAAAAAAAAAATCTGAAATGTTTCAGATTTTAAATTACGTCCCAAAGGGGAGTTTCTTAACATTTGTGTGGTTTTTTTTTAAAACACTTGCTAATAATTCCGCAGCATTTTATATTGATAAAGAGAAATTTTCTATTTTGCAACGATCAAAATTTAAAGAACACAGAAAATATATAAATCAAATATATTTAAAACAGTTCGTTCAGTTGCGGGCCTGCCTCTACCCGAGGCTGGGTGCATTATGAATAAAGACAAAAAAATTCTTAATAAATCATTCTTTATTTCCATCAAAACAGTATCACTCTTCCGAGATCAGCTTTCGTTCGTCCACACGCAAAACATTCGAAAACACTCAGCACGCAGGCTGACGTCACAAACAGCAGCGCCTCGCGCCGGTTATTACTTCAGTTCATTTCACACAACATCCTCCCCCCCTTGAGACTCAGGTTGAGTCTCAAACTCATAACAAACATTATTTAAAAGATCAAGTCTTTTTGGAACTTTTACAAGTCGTCCAGAGGAGGAATATTGTTGCATCACCATTTTATCAGGTGCAATACCCTTTTTTAACGTACACCCAGCACTAGAATTAGATTCCTCTGCACCCAGTTTCTTATCAGGAATTATGTTTCTATCATTGGACTGTATCTCCAGAGGAAAGATGCGTTGTATTGGTCGTATAACTATTCCATGCCGGGTCTTAAGTTTAACCGTACGAATCTTTCCATCACGTCCAGGGATCAATTCTGTAATTCGGGCTAAAGGCCAAAATAAACGTTTTCTGTTATCATCCCCCATCAGTACTATTTCTCCTACTACAGGTTCCCGAGATCGTTTTTCATTATGCTTTTGAACCAGTTGACTAAGGTATTCTTTTCTAAATCGTTGTCTCAGATCATTTAACAATTTAGTTCTATACTTTAATCTCTTATTAAGACTTGACGAATTTAATTCATCAAGATCTTCAACATTGGAATTTCTGTTCTCGATAAGAAACATGGCGGGTGTCAGAGGTACTAATTCTTGCGGATCTTCAGAAACATAAGTTAAGGGTCTAGAATTAATTATAGTTTCACAATCACAAATAATAGTATAAAGTTCTTCATATGATAACACTGATTTTACCTAAAGTACGTTTTAAGCAATTCTTTTACTGTACGAACCAACCTCTCCCACCAGCCACCCCACCAAGCTGCAGTAGGTGGAATAAATTTCCAGATTATCCTTTCAGTTCCCGTTTCCTTTAACTACTTTAGCCCAATTTAGTTTTGATAAATCATTAGATGCACCCCGAAAATTTGTCCCGTTATCACTATAGATTATTCTAGGGCGTCCGCGCCTAGCAACAAATCGTCGAAGCGCCAGGAGAAACGCATCAGTAGAAAGAGAATTTACGAGTTCAAGGTGAATGGCACGGTACACAGCGCAGGTGAACAGCGCGATCCACACCTTTCCTCCATTTTTTAAAAACAGCGGTCCGGCCAAATCAATCCCTATGATTTCAAATGGCGCACAATCCGTAACTCGGTCTGGTGGCAGAGGTGTCGGTTCGCTTGACATAGCCTTAGTTTTAAATCTTTTACAAACGATACAGTTAAAGAGGACATTTTTAATGGCCTTTTCTAGCTCTGACTATCCAAAATCTTTCTCGTAATATGCATTGCATCATCTGAAGACCAGCATGACAGTTCTTATTATGCACATTTCTGATTAATAACTTAGTGAAATCACATTTTTCTGGTAACAGTATTGGGTACAGAAAAGATTCATGGTCATCTCTATTTAGTATTCTCGTTTTAACTCTTAGAATACCATCATCATCAATGAGCGTTTCAATAAAATTATAAGATTTCTTATCAGTCAGATAATAATTTTGAACCAAACGAATTAAATTTTTCTCAGAATTTTCAATTTCATACTGTGAAAGTTCAATGTTTCCATTCTTTTCAGAACCACCTTTACAATTATTTACAAATCTAAATATCCATGCAAATACTCTAATCATTTTATCATAATTGGATACACTGATTCGATGCCAAGGGGGTGCGTCTTTTGATAGATCAATATTCACTATTTTTATCTTTTTCCTCTCCAATTCTACTTCTTCATGCAAATAAATAATCTCACCAGTGGGCCAGTTTTCAGGGCCTTCTCGCAACCACAAGGGGCCTTCCCACCATCTAGACCGAAGCATTTGCTTCGCAAAACATCCGCGCGACAACAAGTCGGCAATATTTAGTTTCCCTGGGATATGTCTCCATGAATGACCTCGCGTCAACTCTCGAATCTCTTTAACCCTATTTTCGACGAAAACGGACCAATTTCCTTGCTCTGTTATCCACCAAAGGGCAGTGGTTGAATCAGACCAGAAGGTAACTTTTAAATCGGGCAAACTGAGAGCTTTGATAATAGAATTTGCAAGTCTAGAACCTATACAACAGGCCATTAATTCTAAGCGAGGAATGCTTAAAGATTTCAAAGGCGATACTCTAGACTTCGCCCGTACGAGATTTATTTTTACTTCAGAATTAAATATTGATCGAACAAAGACGCACGCTGCATACGCCCCCTTGCAAGCATCCACAAATACATGTAGTTCAGACGTGTCATTGATAAACAAGTATCGAGGCAAAGTAACATCTTTCAAAACATTAAGTTCTTTAAACCAGTTCAAAAATATATTTACATCATTCGGAGACAATTCATCATCCCATGCAATTTTCACTTTCCACAATTTTTGCAACAACAGTTTTGGAAGCAATGTAGTTGGCGTTAATAAACCAATAGGATCAAAAATTGTCTGCACAATTGCCAAAATTGTCCTCTTTGTGATTTTCGTATCACAGGTCAATGTATCTGTGTCTGTGCAGCACCTCAGCGTATCATTATCCAAATTCCAAATTACCCCCAAAACGGAAGTATCCCCTGAATGTTTGTCAACATTTGTACCAGCCACATTGCTTTCAAAACCGCGCAAGTTAAAACATCCATTTGACATGATTAATTTGGAATGTTCAATAAACGTAAACTGTTCATCAATACTAAAAACACTAGATAAACAATTATCCACATAAAATGACGATTTCAATTTTTGAGCAACTTCACTATATTGACGTGGACAGTTTTCTAATAGATGCATTATAGATGCGTTCAACAAGTAGGGGCTCGAAGAAGAAACTCCAAACACAACTCTGCAATGCCTATAAATTAATTGCTCTTCATTGCATGGGAAAAAAAATCTGAGAAAATCTCTATCTTTAGATGCGACGGATAACATTAAAAAAGCCTTTTTCAATATCGGCACTAATACCAATCGGATACATTCTAAAACGATCTATAATATCAGGTATTAATTCAATAAGATTTATTCCTTTACACAAACATTCGTTCAAAGAGAGTTTCCCTTTCTCAGATGCAGAAGCGTCAAAAACAGGACGAATTTTCGTGGTTTCACTTCCTAATTTGATTACAGGCCTATGCGGCAAATAATGACATTCATTATTCAATTCGTTTTCTGGTACGCGTTCAATAATATTCAACCTTTCCCATTCCTTGAACACATTTTGATAATCATCGAAAAATTTACTACATCTGAGTTTATAGATCATCTTTTGATACCTTTTCCAGGATAATTCTTTATTATCGGTTAAATGTGTCGTATCA